TTACGGCAGTAAAAGACATATGTGCCATCAACACTTTTGAAAAATTGCTTAAAAATTTTTTTTAGCGAAGTATACTGTTAACATTTCGGCTTTACAACACCATTGTTTTCTGCAACTACAACTGATATGTCTCTACATGAAGTATTAAATTTGTTTCCCCGCTGACTTCTCGTATTTCGCTCTTTTCTTCCTTCCCCGCTCGTCGCCCGTGATGTAGTAACTCCCGCAATTACACACAACAAGGAAATAACTAATGGTGGTCGTGATGACGAGAAGGAAAAATTCAGATGAAAAGTGATAATCTACCACAAAATACCACAAAATACCTGTGTGAGGTCCATGCCCTTGGCCAGACTTGAGCGCACTATTTCAGTATACTAGTCCGACACCCGTTGTATCACTTCACTTGATTCCAAGGATCCAGTATCATCCAGGTATCCCAGTTACCCTGCTCACAGGGTCTAGTTCACATTTGAATAGCGACACTCTACAACATATTAGCAAACTATCGAGGGCAATAGTAGACGCAGCAAGGGAAAGAATCGAAGCATTAGGTCTTCTTCTTAACAGCCATGAGCGGATCGAAATGGAAGACAGGGCTTGTGATTATGTTCGTCGTGACTGCTTGTTTTGTTGGGGCATTTGAACTGATATCATTTCTTAAGAGATCTCACGAAGATAAAGGTGAGTATTGAAACTATCTTTTAATTACTAGGTAAAAGGAATGAATACAGAAATCACTGGAAAGTTTTTGCGAGCACAAATCTCTGAAAATATAACTATTGGCGTGAGAGTTGCTCAACATTCTTACTGAAGTTTACTAGCTCATTCACCAATACTTTGTCTCAACAATGACCTTTTCTTCGATGTTTACTTAAGTCCAAACTTATTTGTTAAAGATACTAACAGAACAGCGATGGAAATCAGCAGTTTAAGCTTATTTTCGACTGTGAACTTGAGAACAAGAAAATGCTTCGATAGGCATTTTGCACGAACTGATGTAAAGCTTTGTCTCTCGATTTAATCCGCTGAATAATTAATCTAGGGTCTCCTGAAAATTCGTTGTAATAGTAAAAAAAGTTCATCAGCCGTCTAGAATTTTGAAGTTCGGTACAAAAATTTTGATCCGTCTCGTCTCTACTTAACAGATACACCAACACTAGCGACAAGTTTTAACTGCCGCCAGAAGCCATTTTGTGATGGAAACGCTACATGCAAAACAAATCCAAAAGATAAGACTCATTTCAAATGTGTTTGTAATAGTGGCTTCCAAGGAGATGGATTCTCGTGTAAGGACGTTGATGAATGTAAAAGAAATTCTTCCACATGCAGTCAGCATGCATTTTGTATAAATTCCATTGGCTCGTACGATTGCCGCTGTTTGACAGGATTCCACGGCAAAGGTTACTCCTGCGAGGATATCGATGAGTGTCAGAGCAAAATCCACAACTGTGGCGACCATGCAGTGTGTGACAACATTGTAGGTTCCTATAAATGCAGTTGTTTCGATGGATTTGTGGGCAATGGACGGTCTTGTTACGACATTAATGAATGCAAAACTAATGCTCACAATTGTAGTGTTCATGCATCATGCAATAACACTGTTGGCTCTCATGAATGCGTGTGCCTTTCTGGGTTTTCCGGCGATGGTTATGTGTGTCAAGATGTTGATGAGTGCAGCAACAGAAGTCATCTTTGCAGCCCTCACTCCAGGTGTGTAAACATCCCAGGATCACACCGCTGCATATGTAATGACGGGTATCGTGGAAATGGACAGTCATGCAGTGGTAAGCATAAAATTAGCAACTGAAGCACTATAAATAGGTAGCCTATGGCCTTCACTATTATGACTCTTTTCTAGACACTCCCGGTCTTGTGGTGGGAGCTTGATAATTCTATGGTTGTTGTTCGTTTACTATTCTATCTCTGGATGAGAGGGATAATTAACTAATTAATTAATTGCAGATATCGATGAGTGCAAGGAAGGGACAGCCCAATGCAGTTTTAGAGCAAGTTGCACAAATACCCCTGGTTCTTTCTGCTGTAAGTGCATTGCGGGATACCAAGGTGATGGGAAAAATTGCCGCGATGAAGATGAGTGCCTTAGTCGTCAGCATTGTGATTTGAATGCAGATTGCAGAAACACCAATGGCTCTTATACATGCAGTTGCAATTCTGGCTTCCATGGTGATGGTTTTTCGTGTCATGATGTGGATGAGTGCAGAGGGGGTATCCATGATTGTCATGCAAAAGCTCAATGCAGGAATACCTGGGGATCATACAGTTGCTCCTGTATTAAAGGATATCATGGAAATGGAAGGCAGTGTAAGGGTAAGCAGGCTGTGCTTCTAAGGTTTTTTTTTGCTTTGAACTTAGCACAACCTTCAGTTAAAGGGCTGTTACCTTGCATCAATAGCTTAACCTTCAGGCAGAGTATACTGAATTTGTGAACCATCTTTGTTTAAGGGGTGGCATCTCCACCACTTCGGCTGTCCCAACAGCCTTAACAGTGTTATATCTTTGAATGCACCTCTGAAAACCTTCATTTGTAAGCAATGCTGATTGAATTGGTTTTGACATTGTTTTTGTTTGTTTCGCAGTTTCTTCTGCTGGACGACCTCACCCACTCATTGGAATTTTTCTACTTGGCACTTTTATCGCTTTTATGTTATAATTACTTTGTAAGTACATCTCTTGGAGTGCAGTTGAATAATAACACATCAAAGCATGTTTGAAGTCATTTACATTTTTTATACTAATAGGTTAAGCTTATCTGACAGAGTGTTCTAGTTTCCTATTGTTCATACAATAAATGGCTGTTGAACGGTTGAAGTCTTGCATTTACATGAAGGTACAGACTATTTAGTAACAGCTGTATTGGCAGACGATTGTGTGTCTTGTAGAATGAGTGATAGGAACAATTGTAGGATCTATATCCACCAGACCATGGGTAATCTTAAAGAACAGTAACATATCTAAGTACTCATGCCAGTAGCTGATAGGTAGTAAGGAAAGGGTTTTTAGCTGTTGTTCACAACTCTGACAGCAGGAGAATGGTAGTTTCAAGATACATTTTGTGACTCATCTCTGTATCTTTTCTAGATTTGAGATAAGATAAAACATTTTGGTAAAATAAATTGTATTTTGGTACCCAAACTTGTATAGTATAGCCCAGATGTAGTCTAACAATGGTTAAATAGATTGATCTTCTTCAAGTTGTATAAATGAAGCCAATAAAATTGTTAGTCTGTAACCTACCAACTTTTCACTGGTATCAGTGCTGTTTTAAAATCTAGTTGAGAAATAAAAATGTCTGTACACTAAGTGTACTGACAAGTTTTGTTTTTTAATATATCACGAACTTTGCTGTAGAGTTTCTATTATCTCACTTTTTAGGTTGAATTAGTATTATTGTGTTTGACCATACTTGGCCAAAGTGTTGGAATTTAACTTTGGTTACATTGTTTAATTCAAATGCTCTCTTAGTGGGTCAGTTTTGTTTATATAAATATGTGATGCCTTTTATAATTTAGCCCTTAGCATGCTAACTTCAAGTTCCGGTTACAATCCCTTAAACTGACTTTATTTTTAGTAACGCACATATACATGACAATTGTTCCTTTGACTAGCAGTGAAAGCTTTACTTTTCATCAAATCCCAACAACCTGGTATATATCAAATTAAAGCTTAAGAAATTTCCTTTCTAATTATTCTATTACAGTAACTTTTAACTTAAATTGCTTTTAAAATTTAGCTATAAAATCGTGTTTTTGGAAAAACTTGACAAAAATTACACATTAACAAAAAAAAGATCATATTAATTTCTTCCAAAAATTATCTGTACAAGCCTAAAATGGAAACCAGAGTAAAGTCCCAGTCCACAAGCCTAATAAAACAATTCCTGTGACTGTGACAGTATTTTTTCTCAATACAGTAGCAAGACTGCATATTTGTCAAGTGAACCCATAATCAAAATTAGGAATTTATATCTATTGTTTGGTTTTGAAGTAGTTCAAAACAGTCAGCCCAGTTCTATGGGTCTATGTTGTAACTTTATCTATTTCTGTGTTTTAATTGACTTCAAAACCTAACAAAACCAAACAAAAGATGAATAATGGTTATGATCAGTTAATCAATTAGTTTTGGCATCCACACTGTCATTATTAGCATCGTGTCTTCGAACATAGGCAGTAACATAGTCCTGAACAGTGGGGTACAACTGGAAGCCGTCTTGCATACAGAGGGCTACTTTGCAGACACTGCACTGAAAGCTAAACTCTTCTCCTGGCCTCTTCCTTTTATCTCATGTCCTTTTTAGGATCTCCTTTTGGGCAGGAAAGCAAACCATACATGCCCAGGTGATGTTGGACTTCTTCCAAGTGCCCAGTATTTTCTCTGGGAAGTGACCTCCCACTTCAAGATGGGTTAAGCCTTTGGCTGACCTTGCATGGCCTCTTGGAGTGAGAGAACGGGAGATACCAGAATTCCTAACTAGCTCCTTCACAAGCTCCTTTTGAAAGGTCCTTTGCAGTCACTGGGTTCTTTGCTTGCAGAGGATGTAAGCATTCAAGATGCTTAAAGAAAACAGGTGGAAAAACTCTTTCTCCCACCATTTCATGGTGTGTCACCTTAAGTAAGAATAGACCACCATCTGATAACACCTGTCAATTGCCCCCATGAACTTATTGTAGTCATGAATAATAACAGGTTTAGTGATTGGACCACCAGTTTCGGGGTGATTTTGGCCAACTTCTACTTCCACTACAGAATGAATCGATGACAGCATCTGGAAAACTCTGCTGCCCTTAAATTTAAGAACAAGTCTCTGTAAGAATCAAACATCTTGGGAAATGAAAATTTCAACCCCCCTTCAAATTTTGCATGCAGTTAGGTGCTCAGGGGGGATGCACAAGAATGCTCTTTTTAAAGGGTGCAGCACTCTTGTTACCATGGTAACAACGGCTGCTTGTTCGAGGCCTGGGGCCTCATTTTCATACAAAAACGTCGCAAAAAAAGAGTGAAATGTTTATTTCTCTATCTCAAGCTAAATACAACATTACAAATTGGCACTTCTGTCATACATAGTAACATCATTCATCTTCACATTGATACAGTCAATTTTCCCTGGGAGTGAAGCTGAACACACTAACAGATTATTCATTTCGGTACAGTTCCGATCATCTTTGTTGTCGGGTAAAACAGGGAAAACGTTTATCTGAATTTCTCCAAAAGTACACCGATTCTGGAACTGAAACTACCCACATAGCTGGTTATAATATTCTAGTTTTTAAAAATGTTAAAATTTCTGCGGGCCTGCCTCTACTCTCCATAGGAGCAATTCGCGAACGAAGCTCAAAAATCAGATATTGCATAATTTGGCGATGTTTACATCGAATGTTCTCGACAACAAATGTTTCAGAAAAATGAAACATGTAAAGCTTTGAAAGAATGTCATCTTATGAACAATATCCCGAAGAGAAATCTCGCCTCTGGTCGTCATCTTTTAAAAAAAAATTGATCAACCTTCATGAAGGACTACTCGACGTAACTACAAACATATACCTCAAATCGTGTGCATATAATCCAGATTCCGAGTGCTGCACCTTCTTTCATGGAAATTTGAGCGACCTGAAGTCCTCTGAAGATACACTGTTATACTTGTATGTCATTTGAAACATGTTAAGTCGGCTGATCTATATGAAACCTATCCTCACACCGGTCATTTGTCATAATCATGTACGTTATCACGATGGCGTGACACTGTATTTCTCCGTGAAGTTTCTATCGGTCGCTCCAAAAAAGACGAGAAATTGATATTTTTCGTATATATCAGCAGATTTCCGCGCACTCCGAAGTAAAAACAACCGAAAAAAAAAGAGGAAAACCCTGACTGAACGCTCGTAAACACTGAAAATCTGAGTATCAATCGTAACCTGTCAGCGGCAGTACCACATGTAAAACCCAGTTGTAACAATAGCAATTTGAACGACATAGGCATCTCCCTACAAAGAGCAGATTCGGGCAGTTATCATTTCCTTGTGACAGGAACTAAGATAATTCGAATCATCTGAAAACTGTCAGAAAACTGTTAGAAAATTTGCATAAGATATGATGAGGAGAGACTTATCACCGTCGCAGTGCAATCGAGTCAATCAATGTTTCCTTCTGTGTCTTGTTATAGAAAATATCATAACAAAGTTCGAAATAAAAGATTAAATGAAATAATAATGTCATTATTCCACCTTTCAAACAACTTATTATCTACACGCAAATCGCAACTCGTAACTTGAACGAAACTACCCATGGTTAATATGTAATCTGGATTGCTTCAGGACCTTCAGGAAAAAGAACAGCGATTTCATCACCATTATTTTCCATACTTTTCTCCCGGATATCTTTTACAAGCTTACAGAAAGATGAATATAGCGCAATCTCCTAGTGATTTACACGAGAGGAAGACAAAGGTCTCTCTGATTTTCCCTTTAGGTGGCCGGCTCATCAGGAAGAAACAGAAGATCGTTCAGTCCAATAACGTTAGTCTGTGGAGATTATCAATCTAATAACTGAGAAGATTGTGCCCTTTGGTTCATCAGTGACAGCATTAATTATTACAAACATGTATTTCTCCGTCCAAGCGACAACAAAAATAGTTCCTTTGTAATTTTGTAAGCACTTCCTATAGCATTTTATTGTCAAGGGAAATAAATCTCAAGGTTCAAAGCCAATATAACGTCCGAGAACGAGAAAGACTCCCTAAAAAAAAAGCTAAATTTCTGGAAATTGGTTGTGATGAAATCCCTGTTCCATTTGCTGTACTGCAAGGATACTGAGTAGTTCAAAATCTCCACTTTGTTATGATTTTTGCGCGAGTCGTACAAATTGCTATTATTGGCGACTGGGTTTTACATGTAGTGCTGCCGCTGACAAGTTGCAATTTCTGCTTTCAGATTCTCAGTGTTTACGAGCGTTCAATCGAGGGTTTTTTCTTTCTTTTTTGGTTGTTTTTACTTAGAATTCGTGGAAATCTGCTGATATATACTAAAAAAAAAATTTGTCTCTTGACATAATTTAAGGGAAAAAGGACGTAGATAAAACCTCGTCGGTGGATCAGTAATCCTGGATATTCTCTTGATTCACCAGGCCCATTGCAATTATCATGGCAAGAAAAGCTTTCAGGTCACCAGATGTCACCATCATCAGGCCAATTTCTAAACCTCGAGTGCTGAGGTAAACGATCTCTTTGCTGTAAAGATGCGATTATTTCCGTTGCATATTTATTTGTTTGAGAAGCAATCTCATCGAATGGGTTTTCAGGGAAGCGGAGATGAATGTGGTCAGAGAATGATGGATTGTCAGGAAGCTCCACATTCAACCCTCGCCAAGGACCCAGTTGTCTTCTTCCGTTTCTTCTTCGCTCTCCTCCTCGCCATCACTGTTTTCTTCTCTTCTGTCATCTTCTTCTTCGCTGCTTTTAGAATTATCCGTGTTTTCATCTAAATCGCTATCCCCACCGACAACTTCATCGATAGTTCCTTCATCAACAAATACAGTATTGGCCGCCATCTTTGTTTATCAGTGTTACCGCGCAACAAAATATATTTCATGCTAATTAATTATTTTATTCTACTCGGATCTTAGCAACTCTGTCGGATGCTTAATTTATGTCTTTGGGTTGGCCCACGAGCGTAAACCCACACAAGCCCGACAAATTCCGAACTTCTCCGCCAATAAAACAATGATGTTCGGAAACCCTGAATATTCCGGGAACCCTCTACATGGGTAAAAACGTGCGCCCGGAATATTTCGGGAGCTGCACGATAAGGGCTAAATATCGAATCCAGCGATGCATCCGAAGAAAGGTTTCAAAACAATCTTACTGTTGTGAGATGAAGGACCTTAAACCAGTAACTTAAGAGTGGCTTGCATCATGGACGGGCGGAGGAAGAGTCTTTATTCCCTTTACATCGAAAGTTGCAACTACGTAAAGCAATTTTTGTCTCTAGCTCGTGAGTGGGATACTGGTCTATCGCAGTACTACCAGTATTACATCACGTTTTCCTCCACGGCACCAATTTGGCCTCCTCGGCGGTGAGAGACATTGGGAGAGTCAAGCTTCTTGCTGAAATCTAACTTTATGATATTCATTTATCATCTCCTCAAGCAGCGAAATAAATAAAAGTCACGTTAAAGAAGAGAGCGCAGGCTGAACTTAACGTTCCAGGCGTATTAATAACAGTTAATCAGTTTTTTTTTATGTAAGAAACAATAAATTGTAAATTCCATTTGACCTATTCGGTATTTCAATAAATCTCAAGGCTTTCTGGCGTCTGTGGGAAAGGCATTTTATAAACTGTTGACTGCAACCCTGCGAGGTTGAGCTCCGCAAAGTGCCGATGATGCCACGAATATGTTATATTATCTCTTACGTCACTTGCATGTGTCAAGCGGTGACCAATGAGGGTTAACCTTGCCGAACCGAGAGGGGGTTCCCCGACTTAAATTCCGAGAAATCTTACTTGCGTCGTTGAAAAGACTCAGTCAGTTATGACTCCGCATTGCACTTGAAAGCGACAGGTATCGAATACACATTTTATATTTATTCTATCATTATTGTTTGCCAAAACTGCAACCTGGGTAAATAACTATGTCATGTCAAGAAGGAAAACCCGAGCAGAAACTTAACATTTCAAGTTTGAAAGAATTTCGGTGGAAGAATTTCATATGTTGCATTGCTAGTGTTACGTGCCTTGTAGCTGTGGTCATATTTGTACTGATATTTGGAAGCCCCAAAAGCGGAGGTGAGTTTAGTTAATCATTAAGGGGTGAGAAGCATTTTTAATCGGTATTTAGTACCCGAAACAACTCGCGGGTATACTATTCGCTAAAGTGCATGATCGGGACACATGCAAGGGCATTTATTTGAAAGATTTATTATATTTTGTAATTTCCAAAGGGTCTTGATATTAGCAGGCAGGTCAAGAATTTAAAGAAAGCGACAAAACTTTTAAGTCCGTAAAACATGTTTCGACAGATACTTCTGTCATCTTCAGTTAATTAATGTACAAAGCGTTGAATTTGAATTATGTAGTAAGTAGAACAATGCTAATTATGATAAATAGTGACAACAAGAAAGCGGTAAAGCATGAAAGTGTGAGAATTCTTTACTTACACTACTTAGACCGTGAAAAGCAACGGAAATGCTTCGCTAAGCAAATTTTGATGACTCAAAAGTTAAACTACAGTCAATGTAGCTTAAGGTTATCGCTATGGTAACTTACTCTATGCGTTCACAAAGCGACTTTTGAGATTGAGATTAACTCGTTTGATTTGGTCACTTGAGAGGTTTCAACAGTCGTAATAATAGTGGTTAATGGGATAACTTTTAATTTCTCCAAAACAGAAAGGCAAAGTTCGATTAACACTTTTAACTGCATACGGAAGTCCTTTTGTGATGTTAATGCTAGTTGCAGAGTGTATTCTAAGGAAAGGGAACTTTCACTTGTGTTTGTAATAATGGCTTCAATAATCTGCCTAGATCAGATCGATAAAATTACTTCTCACAACACTTTACGTCTTTTGTAAAATGAGTTGGATTATGATGCAAACATATCAGTTTTAGGCCGCTTATTTGTTTTCGGTTTTAATCTTGTTATCATCAGTTCATGCACAAAGAGAGCCTAATGCCCACATCGAATAGAACATAGGGCTTGAAATCACACCGAGGCTCCGGTGTTTGATCGAGGTTCTAGCGTTTATTGGCTGTCGAGCCAACAAAAAATTTACGCACTATTGAACAGCACTTCTGTGACAGACAGCCGCTTTTACATCTGTTTTATAATTTTTAAAGGAAGTGCACCGGTTTAACATGGCAGAGATGAATGCCAAAGAACGGAATGAAGAAGAGCTGTTTGCCTATTTCTTGTCATAATCTAGGCACATTCTTTAAATCTTGATTTCATCAGCTAGTAAAATGACACCGCAAATTAATGCAATGTTTGTACACAAATCAGGAGCATTAAACCGAAATCGGTCGCAGCGTGACAAGGATCGAAGTCACCCTCTTTGAGGCTACATCAAAACTTTTACAGCACGCAGTGTGACATTATTTAATGAACAGGTTAATTCTTTCAATAACCAATGAGAGATTAATACGTATAGCATTAGAGGGTTCCCCGGCAGATTTCTGAGAAACCTAAATAGCTCAAATATACTGAGGTTGCAATTCACATTTGGATAGCGACATTCGTATGTTCGACTCCTTTTTGAATATTCCTTAGAGATAATAATACCATGTATTAGCAAACTACTGAGTGCGATAGAAAAGAAACATCAAGGGAAAGAATCGAAGCATGGAGTACTCTTCTTAACGGCCACAAACGGATCGATCAAGTCGAATTGGAAGGCAGGACTTCTAATTCTGTTCATCGTGGCTACCTTTTTTGGTCTAATATTTGCACTGACATCACTAACTAAAAAAACTCTCAAAACCGGAGGTGAGTATCGGAAATTATTTCTTTGTCGCTGGGTAAAGGATTGTATTCAGCATAGCAATATATAGCCATCACATACGTGTTTTTGCTAGTGCTTAATATGAATCCCTGAAAATTTAACTGTTGGCGTGAGAGTTGCTCAACATTCTTACAAAAATTAACTAGCTAATTCACCGATACTTTGTTTCAGCAATGTCCTTTCATCCAATCTTTGTCTAAGTCGAAGCCTAATTCTTAAAGATACGAACAGAACAGCGATGGATATCAGCAGTTTAAGCTTATTCTCGACTGTGAACTTGAGAACAAGAAAAGGCTTCGATAAGCGATTTGAACGTACTGATGTTGTCTCGTACGAAAGCTTTTGTCTCTTGGTTTGATCTGCTTAATAATTAACGTTGTGTCTCCAACAAATTCGCCGAAATAATAATAATGATATAATGAGAAATTATCAGCCATCTGGAATAAAAATTTTGATCCGTCTCGTCTCTCCTCAACAGATGCACCAGCACCAGCAACGAGTTTTAACTGCCGTCAGAAGCCATTTTGTGATGAAAACGCCACTTGCAAAACAAATCCAAAAGATAAGTCTCATTTTAATTGCGTTTGTAATAATGGCTTCCAAGGAGATGGATTCTCGTGTAAGGACGTTGATGAATGTGAAAGAAATCCTGCCACATGCAGTCAGCATGCACTTTGTATAAATTCCATCGGCTCGTACGATTGCAGCTGTTTGACCGGATTCCTCGGCAACGGTTACTCCTGCGAGGATATCGATGAGTGTCAGAGCAAAATGCACGGCTGTAGCGACCATGCAGTGTGTGACAACACCGTAGGCTCCTACCAGTGCAGATGTTTTGATGGATTTACGGGCAACGGACGGTCTTGTTACGACATTAATGAATGCAATACTAATGCTCACAACTGTAGTGTTCATGCATCCTGCAAAAACACTCAAGGCTCCAACACATGCAGTTGTCAGAAGGGATTCCAAGGTGATGGACAGACTTGTCATAACATCGATGAATGCAAGACTAACGGACACGTTTGTAATGTTCATGCATCCTGCAATGACACTGTCGGCTCCTACATGTGCAGTTGTTTGGAGGGATTCCAAGGCGATGGACGGTCTTGTCATGATATCGACGAATGCAAGACTAACACACATGCTTGTAGTGTTCATGCATCCTGCAATAACTCTGTTGGCTCCTACATTTGCAACTGTCTGGGAGGATTCCAAGGCGATGGACGGTCTTGTCATGATATCGACGAATGCAAGACTAACAAACATGCTTGTAGTGTTTATGCATTCTGCAATAACACCCACGGCTCCTACATGTGCAGTTGCCTGAAAGGATTCCAAGGTGATGGACGGTCTTGTCATGATATCGATGAATGCAAGACTAACACACACGCCTGTAGTGTTTACGCATTCTGCAATAACACCGTCGGCTTCTACATGTGCAGTTGCCTGGAAGGGTTCCAAGGCGATGGACGGTCTTGTCAGGACATCGATGAATGCAAGACTATCACACACACTTGCAATGTTCATGCACTCTGCAATAACACCGTCGGCTCCTACATGTGCAGTTGCCTGGAAGGATTCCAAGGCGATGGACGGTCTTGTCAGGACATCGATGAATGCAAGACTAACACACACACTTGCAGTGTTCATGCATCCTGCAATAACACCGTTGGCTCCTACATGTGCAGTTGCCTGGAAGGATTCCAAGGCGATGGACAGTCTTGTCAGGACATCGACGAATGCAAGACTAACACATTCGATTGCAGTGTCTTTGCATCCTGCAATAACACTGTCGGCTCTTACAGTTGTAAGTGTCACAAAGGATTCATGGGGGATGGACGATCCTGTCATGATATTGATGAGTGCAGCGACGGAAGTCATCTTTGCAGCCCTCACTCCAGATGTGTAAACATCCCAGGGTTGCATAGATGCATATGTAACGACGGGTATCGTGGAAATGGACAGTCATGCAACGGTAAACATAAAATTAGCAAGTGAAGCGCTATAAATAGGTAGCCTATGGCCGTCACTATTATGACTATTTTCTAGACACTCCCGGTCCTGTGGTAGGAGCTTGATATTTCTAGGGTTTCTGTTCATTTAATATTCTATCTTTGGATGAGAGGGATAATTAACGTATTTAATTCCTTCGCAGATATCAACGAGTGCAAGGAAGGGATGGCTCAATGCAGTGTGAAAGCAAGTTGCACGAACACACCTGGTTCTTTCAGTTGTAAGTGTATTGCGGGATACCAAGGTGACGGGAAAAATTGCCCCGATAAAAACGAGTGCAGTAGTGGTCAGTATTGTGCTAGGGATGCAGATTGCAGAAACACCGATGGCTCTTATACATGCAGTTGCAAACCCGGCTTCCATGGTGATGGTTTTTCGTGTCGTGATGTGGATGAGTGCAGAGAGGGTATCCATAGTTGTCACGCAAAAGCTCAGTGCTCGAATACCTGGGGATCATACAGTTGCTCTTGTAGTAAAGGATATTACGGAAATGGCAGGCAGTGTAAGGGTAAGCAAGCTGTGCTTCTAAGCTTGTTTTTGCTTCGAATTTATCACAACCTTCAGTTAAAGGGCTATTACCTTGCATCAATAGGTTAACCTTCTGGCGGAGTATACTGAATTTGTGAACCATCATTTTATTGTTTAAGGGGTGGCATGTCCCCCACTTGAGCTGTACCTATAGCCCTAACAGGGTTACATCTTTTAATGCCCCTATGAAAACCTTCATTCATGAGAAAACTAATTGAATTTATTTTGTCTTGTAGCTTCTTCTGAAGGACGGCCCTACCCTCTCATGGGAATTTTTCTATTTGGCACTTTTATCGCTTTTTTGTTGTAATTATTTTGTTCTTACGCAAAGAAGGAATAAGTTGAATATTTCAACTGGACAATTATTAAAGCAGATGCCCGTTGTGGATAACCGTGATGTTAGTAATATCGTTCCTACGATCGACATTGATGCATGGAAGCTTCCTTTACAGTTTCCTTCAACACCATCCCAGAGAGGGTTTTAATGCATTGCAGCGCACGGACCTCGAGCACAATATCTTGGTCCCTCAATCCTCTGTTGCTGAAGGTTTCCAAATAAAATGACAGGACGGTTAAGAAAGATTTAAATATTCGTTGAAAATTAATACATTTTGTATAAAATTAGAACTTTTAGTCCGTAAACTTCCAACTTTGCACTGGTATCAATGCTGTTTTATAATCAATTTTAATATAAAGATGTCAGTACACTAACTGAAGCACATTGAGTCGATCACTGATCAAGTTTTGATTTTTTAATATACCACGAACTTTACTCCAGAGTTCCTATCGCCTCAATTTTCAGGTTAAATTAGTATTATTGTGTTTGACTATACTTTAGCGAAGTGTTAGAGTTTGACATTGGAAACATTGTTCTATTCAAAAGCTTACTTGGGTTCAGTTTCGTTAATATAAATACGTGATGCCGTTTAAAATTCTCAATGTCGAATCCGGCGATGCATCCTAAGAACGGTTTCAAATCAATCTTACTGCCGTGAGATGAAGGACCTAAAGCCAGTTCTTTTAAGAGTGGCTGGCGTCGTGGACGGTCGAAGGAAGAGTCGTTATGCAAAGTGGCACTTTGCATCGAAAGTTACAATTTAGTGGAGCAGTTTTTACTTCTAGTTCCTGAGTGGGATACTGTTCTATCGCAGGTTACTCCTAGCATTACATCACGTTTTCCTCTAGGCACCAAATTGGCCTCCTCGGCGGTAAGAGACATAGGGAAACGGCTGGATTGTATCAGATCCAGAACGAAGTGGAGATAAGGACTGCTGAGGGCTATGCTTTGAGTAGAGGTAAAGAAGTTCAGTTTTGTCTTTGTTTAGTTTCAGCTTGTTTAAGGACATCCAATTATCAAGATCGGATAAGCATTCCTCAATTTTAGCGATGCTGCTGGTTAATTCTAAATCGTCGTTTGCAGAAATGTATAACTGAGTGTCATCGGCGTAGAAATGAAATTCCATGTAGTGGAAACGCAGAATGTCGGCAAGTGGAGCAGTGTAAAGTAAGTAGACGATGGGCCCAAAGACAGAGCCTTGAGGTACTCCACACTTAGGCTCACGAGACTGTGACTTCTTCTCGTTGATTAAGACAACTTGCGTGCGGTTAGTAAGAGTGCAGTGCCACAAAGTGTCAATCCTTTGAGCAGTATTTCATGGTCAACAGCGGAGAGATCAAGTAGCAGGAGCATGACACAATGTCGATTATTAGTAGCAAGCAAAATGTCGTTTTGAACACGGACAAGGGCGGTTTCGCAGCTGTGAAATGGCTTGTAGGCCGATCGTAGCGGCTGTATTAGTTGGTTAGAATTAAGATAAGCTTGAAAACGCACTGCCACAACCTTCTCAACAACTTTAAAGATAACCTTGAGGTTCGAGATATGCCTGAAATTGCTAAGAACTTCGTGATCCAGATTAGGTTTCTTGAGTAGAGGTGTTAAAACGGCACTTTTAAGAGACGAAGGCAAATGACCAGATTCCAGCGACAAATTTAGAATCCTACAAATAGATGGTAAGAACAAGTCGAAGTGTTCTTTCAGTAACGAGGCAGTTAGAGGATCCAGATAGCATGATTTTTGTACAACAGAACGAGCAATATTCGATAGTTCGGAATTCGAGATAGGTGAGAAATTGCTAAGATCACAATTAATGGTGGAAATATCCAGGGAGGTAAGGAATTCGGGAATTTCTGGAGGAATAGATATGCTTCTGATACGGGTTATTTTATCTTCGAAAATGATGACGAATGTATTAGCAAGATCTTTAGCCGAGGAACTGGTTGGGAAACTTTTCTCTGCTTTCTTGTGAAGGAGGCGGTCGATTGAGCGAAACAGGGCTTTGTTGTCCTTGCCAGCCTTCGAAATAAGATATGAGCAGTAGTCCATTTTTGACCTGAAAATGGTGTTCCAAATAACAGTGGGTTGATTTGCATAGGGTCAATAGTCCGATTCAAGTTTGAAGCGTCATCAGCACTTTTCAAGCTTGCGGCAGATTGATTTCTGTTTTTTGATTTCCTCGCTGCGCCAAGGAGCATTAGGACGCAAAGTGATGATCCTTGTGCGCAGAGGTGCATGTTTATCTTTATACCTTCCCTATAAATGACTTACTTTAGCACTTTTAAGACATTGATGAGTGCAGAGACGGAAAATCAAGATGCAGCTTGAATGGACGTTGTGGGTCGTGCGATACAAACGCAGTTTACAGCAACACTGAGGGATCTTACCTCTGTAGGTGAAAATACGGTTTTTATGGTGACGGCCTCTTCTTCGGCGGAAAGGCCTGCATCGCTTATTGAAATGTTTCTCCGTGTTATTACTATCCAGTTTGTGTTACGACAGATTTTAGGCCTGCATCTAAATATGGAAGAAGCTACACATGATCAGAATTTATGCTTGTTAATATTAACATTATTTCAAACGCTGTAATCACGGAAGGAGTAGGGATGCTCCCTGTCCCTTACATACATACATAAGCACACACATACTTTATTTGTTAACGTAGGTCGCAAAGTGGCGGCTAAAAAAGCTGCTGTGGACCTACCTATTATCTATACAAAGTTATAAATTAAGCCTAATTATTAAAATGTTTATAGAAATTTTCTCACAAAATATACAAAATCATTAAGTGAACCTTTCTATTAAAAATTTTTGCTGGGGTATTTAAGAAAAAAAAGAAATGTTTATAGAGTCAAAAATATATATTACCTTAGAATACCACTAGTAAGTTAATAATAAACAAAATTCCGTCTTTCATCTTTTCTAAGATTAGTAATGGTTCCTGGAACAAATGTCACTTTTCTTAACTGAGTGTTGTTGCCTTTTAGCTTTGTTTTGAAATTCTCAAATTTATCTAAGAGCCTTGATGAACTGCCAAGAGAACTCCATGAAATCAGGGCCCTGAAATTGAAACTGTTCCTCCCCAAGATCTGTTTTATGCGTTTGATTTCAAGGAGTGGGCCTTTGCGCTTCGATTAAGTAAAAGTGAAAAACGGAAGTGTTCTGCTCTTCAAGCCTTGCTTGACTTTAAAAACTTCAATTTCTAATCTTTTTTTATATGGGTATCACAAGTCTTGCCACTTGATAAGGTCAAGGACTTCATGGTCCAAATAGTTCTTCTATATTTTATTTATGGTTCAAACTACCTTGATGCGCACGTTTTCCATATCAGTAAACATAGCAACAGAGCAACTTCCCTAGACTCCGATACAATAAGTCACTCAAGGTATTACAGTCTTAAAATAAATTTCTTTTAAAAGATGTGATTTAAGATAACTAATCTTCCTCAAAACACGTAGCTGTTTACCTAAAGCTTTTTGTGCTCTGTCTATATGTTCTCTCCATAGCAGTCTGTTATCAACCAGAACTCCTGATAGTTTTGTTTTGGCAGTGTATTCAAGCAATTTATCGCCACATCCAACAAGTAATAAAGGTCCTACAAATCGATTCTTTTGCATTATCATTACTTCAGTTTTTCCAGTATGTAGGGTAAGTTTGCTAAGTTCACACCAAGTATGACGAATTTCTCAAATAAGAAGATTTAACTTTACCACGACCTCATCGGTGCTATTTCATATTACGAAAGCTGTTGTATCATCCGCTTCACCTTGTGATATACTATCATCATATCATCACGTTTGCATAAATGGAAAGAAGTATTGGGCATAAAAGTGAACCCAAAGGAACCGCATATCTTACTTCTAATAGAGGTGATATGATGCCATTTTAATCTACAAACTGCCGTCGGCTTGATACATAGCCATGCAACCAGTAAAATAACTGTCCACTCAGGCCGCAAGCATGCATTTTGTAGTATAAAATGCCATGATTTACAGAGTCGAAAGCCTTTTAAAATCAATCAAAATTGCTCCTACAACTTTCCCTTCATCTATTGGTCGTTTCCAAGATTCCGTCAGGAACAGAAGGAGTGACTCTGATGACTGACCCTTTCTGTATCCCCAATGGTTTTTCTGCAGCACCTCATTTAAATAAGGGTCGTTTGTATCACAAATGATAGACTCATTGATTTTAACTGGGATGCTCAACACAGTCAGGGGTCTGTAGTTACCACACTCCCCGCTATCACTTCCCTTGTGCAAGAGTTTGAATTTACCAATTTTCCATTGAGTTGGATATTTTCCTTCATCGTAGCTCATTTTGCCTTTGTGAGCAATACTGCAGCAGATCTCCTTGGCAACGATTTCCATTTCCTTTGGTGTTATACCTTCACAACCATAAGCTTTACTGATGTTCACTTTTCTCAGCTTATTATAAAACCCGTCGGTATCAAGCACAACTTCAGATATCATTGGGTTTTACTCTCGCGATGTAAGACTTATCTGCGGCAGTTGGAGGAAAACGGGATGCTAGTTTTTCGCCAACTGTGGCAAATAACGAATTCATGGTTTTCGATTTGACAAGATCGTCATGAATTAATGTGTTGTTTTCATCTCTCATTGGGCCAATTATCTTGCTATAAGTATTTTCTTGTCCTGTCAGCTGTCTCACAATCTTCCAAAATCCTCTGGTCCTCCTTTCGCTTCACTCAACGTCTTCTTCCAGTATTCTGCTTCCGCTCTTTTCAAAGTTTTGTTTACACTCTTCTCAGTTCCTTATACCTTTTCCAGTCGTTGAAAGTAGTTGGTGCTGTAGGTTAGGCATTGCGCAGAGTCCCAGTCAATAGTGTGATTCGTAGGTCGGTGATGTTCAGCAATGTGATTGTTGACATCGCCTTTCCTTGTTGCTCGTTTGTGCTCGGTCAGTCTAGTTGTGAGGTTTCTGCCAGTCTCACCGATGTAGGAGGCGTGGCAGTCGGAGCAATTGATCTTATGCACTACTCCCTATCTGTTCCTCGGTTCGTCTTTGTCTTTGACGTTAGTCAGTAACTGACGTAGTGTGGTAATAGGTTTATGAGCGATGCGGATATTGAATGTTTGTAGGATGCGCGAGATGTTCTCAGATATGCCCTTTATGTACAG